AAGTCCTTCTTTATAATCCCTCTTTCCCACCCCCAAATACCAAAACCGCAGCAGAAAACAAAGAAATAGGTGATTCTGTGAAAAATAAAAGGAAAAAGGATGGGAAGTTGTTTATATCTTCTGCCCAGAGTGTCCCTGGAGTTTAGAAAGAATAAAAGTTCTCAGCTGAAGGAAAAACAAATGGGGGGGACGGGGACGACCCAGACACACGGATTAAACTATTGAAATATAACACCCTTTTTGGACAGCCACCTTCAGTCACCAGCATGGACAAAATCCAAGAGTGGTGATAATTTTTTCATAAAAGCCAGTAATGATAGTCCGCCCAAGGAAGGTATTTCAAATAGCATCTTATCTGATCAGTATCTGAAGGCCCTTCTAAATGGTGATTTCAGTATTTTTTACCTCGTTAGGGACTAGGTTCTGGGTGCGCGCATTTCTCCTGATGTATATTCTGCACATGAAAACATAACGTGCGCATTCCGACCTTTCTTGTGTTTACACGGTGAAAACGGAGCCCCACGGCCACGGCACGGGGGGCGTTAGGACCCCGCGCGGGCGCACCGAAAGCGCCCGCCGGGGCCCGGCCCGCGGCGAAGCAGGACTGTCAGCGCCCTCTGCTGGGCATAGGGCGGCGGCGGGCGGGAGGGCGGGCGGTAGGACCCGGGGTTTGCGGCGCCGCTGCCAGCCCCGCGAGCGGCCGCAGGAGCCGCCTGGGGACGCGGCAGCTCCGCAGCCGGCACCGGGCGGGTTGCGACGCCTGCAGCTGGGTGCAGCCCAGGTCAGCTCCTGAGTTACTTCAGGGCAGCCGGTGGTGTAACAGATACCGCGTGCATGCAAAAGGTGAGATGGTGCTGCGGGTCTCTTCGCTACAGATTCGCAGCTGAGCTTACAGTGGTCGGTTCCCAAACTGAAATGATACCACCTGGTCGAGGCACATTACTACTGCGTCTGTACAGAAGTGTTAGAAACGTAGGAACGGTGAAACCCCTGCAGTTACAGCCGAGGTGAGAGAGATTTGAAGCCTCACGCTATGGGTGAAGAACCCTATGACCTCTTTCCCTTTTTGCTACTGAGTAGCAGAGTCTCCTGGCCCTCAAAAAGGTCATTAAAAGGAAGGTGGGGCTTTCAGGAGGGGAAATTCTCCCATCAGAGGGTAATTCTTTTGAATTTTAGACCATACTGATGACACCTACTAAACCTTCCCTTCCAGATTTTACCCACAAGTGGACTGGACATGTAACCCAGGAAGCAGAGTGAAACCCAAATTCTCTGTGAATGCCGCCACGTATTAGCAGCTGTGAAAGCCATGCTTATGCTTCTTATGCACATGTAGGGCCAAGCCGTGTTAAATGGATTGATTCTTTCCTCAAGGGTCTTTACTTAATGGAGGAATTTCGAGAAGGATCCCAGGCTGAGACCAGCGACGTGGCTGCTCTACCCTCAGATTTATATGTCGAGGTAGAAGAGAGGTCAAACACACTGAGCCTTCCACTTCAGTAAGTTATGTGCCTGATGACCTGCTCTAGGAATAACTATTGATCTCTGCTTATAACTCCCGTTAAGAGTCCTGTACATATCGACAGTCCTGGAACCCCAGATTTAAATACCAGGAGTGACAAAGACAACCAAGCAAATATCTTAGCTTGTTGTCTGCAAACGTTCCCTCTGGTAAAATATTTCTGTTGTGATTTTTGCCATTGACACAAAGAATCTGAAATTGTACTAGTTCATAGGCATGCAAAATAACGTATTCATTCAGAATAATTTTAGGATTTTTAGGATTTTTAAATAGGTTATTTTTCCTTCTTCTCCTGTATATTGCTGAAACATAAAGGGAAATGGGAAATTATTAATCTTAGATGGGAAAAGGGAAATTATTGTCAATAACATATGTCATAGCCCATTAAAAAGTCCCGCAGAATACCCTGTTGATTCCACTCAGCTACCCAGCACATGGAAACTGAATGAAGTTGGTAGTAAGACAGGACAAGCCTTTGTCACTGTACCAGATACCTTCAGTAGAGCATTGTGTCATCTCTAGTTCCATCACAAGGTGATCTGTTTCATAGGCCTGTGAGGGGCAGTTGTTCCTGAAGGCAACAGATAACCCTAAACAAGCAGCATTCAACAAAAGCAGAGCAGAAATCACTAGCTACTATTTCCAATTAGGAAAACGAAAAAGCATCATGAAGAGCTACATTTTCCAGAGCCAAAATTATGTTCTATTCCATATGGTCTATATTTTTAATATTATAATCTAAACAAAAATGAACTTAATTTAGAAATCTGCATTAAAATCTGGAAGAAGCACTGTTGAGATGTAAGGAGGTGCATGGGCCAGTACCCAAATCATTGGATATAATTTTCCACTACATTTGTCTGACTAAATCCATGTAGACTTTGAACAAGTTTGGCAAGAGCCTTAGTGGTTTTGTTTTTACAGCCATATGAAGGGAAAAAATCTCATGTGTATCGAGTGTCCCTGGAAATGGGTAAAATCATTGTGGTAAAATGTGTTTATATATTTTAAGACAATCATGAATCAAGACAATTCTTTGAAGACAATTTATAGTAATAATTTCATGTCTGTTCCTTGACTTGCCTAGTCTACATAGCTGCCTAAATGGGTGCCAATGCAAACAGTCCGTATTAGGCGCTGCCAAATGAAATCATCACCCATTTTAGTGCCCCTTACCAAAGCATGCTCCTCATTGGCAGCCTTCAGTGCGTAAACAAACTGCTGAATCATCTTGCTAGCTCAGAGAGTGACGGTGAAAATAAATTCCTTCTCAATGCAGCAGTTTAGTCATTTGAGACAGGAAATCACTTTGTGTTGGGAAGTAGTACTGGGTAAAACTCAACCAGTTTCCAGAACAGTGAAAGGCTCGGGTTGCAGCAGGAATGATGTGATTATGATGGGCAGGAAGCAGAACAGGACAAGTTCCAGCAAAAAACTCCATAGAACACAATAGTGAATATTGTTCTTGATGTAGATCTTTAGTAGGTGGTTCAAAATATTATACCAAGATTAATTCTACAAATCCATTAAGCTCATAGAGCTGTTTTGATAGAATTCTATTCAATATGGTAGGACTTTTCTATAGAAACACTTGTCTGTGCCCTGCATCAACCCCCCTGAGCCCAGTTCTACAGAAGTATCTTCACAAATAATGACATAAAGAAGGAGATACAGAGAACTAGATGGGGAACCATGAAAACATGTGTTCCTTTTCTCTCCCATTTTAATCAGCTGCAGTACCTCCTTGTCCATGAAAGCTGGCAGAGGCATCAGTGACAAGTTGCCACAACATAAAGGGGCACAGACTGCTCAGTAGTACTTTGAGAGGTATTTCTTGTGCAGAATCTGCACCAAAGCTGATTTTGCTTCCTCTCTGTCACAGCAGAGGCTAAACTTTGGAGTGGTGTCAAGTCTGGTTTTATGATACTAAGATCTCCCTGGGAATTTATGAGGCACTCTCTTTGGATTTAATTTATCCCTTCAGGGAGCGTGGGTTATAGATGAGTCATTTTAAGCCCGCTGACCTCAGTCACCTTCTGTGACAGGTAAACTCAAGCTTAAAGTGAAAAGATCCCCAGAGTCACTGGTTTCTGCTAAAGGATACATGTGTGCTATCAGAATACTGAAATAATCAGAGAAATGTGATGCAAATTGGGGCAGCTTCCTTGGAGCAGTGCTGCAGACACAAAACACAAAAGTAATGTAAGAACCACTGAGGTTTAATTCCAGAATCGTTAATTCTTCCCAAATGGTCCAGATTTAAATAGAATAAAATTCGATAGTGAATCCCACTTTATATGATAATACAAGGGACTAATAGCAATTACCTGTTGAATAGCAATGGAGCTGAGCAGTGTTTGAGGCATCTGGGTTACTCAGTGAAGACTTGAAAGATTCCCCAAAGAGGTGCTGCCTTTTGTACAGCTCACTGTAATCTACCTGTAAATCTTCATAATTTTCATGGCTGTTTTACATGTCAAAAGTTCAATTTCAAGCGGAAATACTTATCAATCAATCTACCTGCAGCTTCCTTGCATGTCTGTTGGGCGAGGAAGTGTGCTGGTATTTTCAGCGTCTTTGTAAAGCTATGGAGTATATTTGGACATATTGTGGAAGGCAGTAAACAATGCAGTGCATTCCTGGGGTGAGTTTTGTCACTAGTTTATGGTTTTAAAACTCAAAGCTCCACGCTGTAATTTAAGGATTTGTAGTTATTTTGAACAAGGGAGAAATTAGAAGATGATGGATTGTATTATAGGAGACTTATTTAATGCCCTATTCAAACACTATCCAGATATTTCATCTGAAGTCTTCATCTAGAGTCAATATTACATGGGATCAGCTATCTGAAAGAAAATGATGGAACATTTTCTTGGCTGTTAGGCACCTGAGAAATATAGAATTTGATGATGCCAAACTATCTGCCATATGTGTACTTTCTCTAGTCTTATTTTCCTTAATGAAATGTGGTTACCACAAAGGATATTTCCAGTTGAAAAGGAGAGAGCAGCTAGATTCAGCTTTCCTAGATGTGGTCTATCTCTTAGCAAGTGTTTTACAGTTTCTATTGCAAATTTGAAGAGAAGTTTTTTTCATTAACAATCATTACTTTACATTTTCAGCACAGAAAAAGATTAGGATGTTGAGGTAAGTTTCAAGCCACCATTTTAGAGTTTAAAGAGTTAGTGCACTCGCTGGGATTAAACCACAGGCACCCGTATACTTACCAGACCATTTATGGGTTTTACTTCTATTTTATCCCTTAAACAAAAGTGAAGAAATAATAGAATTACATTTACATATTTACTTAAAAGAAGATAATTTATAAACTATTATAAATAGTAAATACCTAATTCCAACTTTTAAACAAATAAGACCCAAGAAAAAAAAAAAAAAGAAGGTATTTCTGTAAGATGTAATATAAGAACAGCTGTAAGGAAAAGATTTCTGATTTCTTTAGGTCAGTTTTAGAATCCTAGGTAGTTTAGGCTGGAAGAAACTTCTGGATGTCTTCTAGTCCAAGCCCTTTCTCCAAGCAGGTATCGTTACATCAGGTTCCTCATGGTTGCATCCAATCAAGTTGAAATATCCAGACAGAGATTCCGCAACCTCTATTAAATGCTGATTGCTGCAATGCACTGGTAAGAAAGCAATTCACATGCAAAATTATTCCCCATTTTTTTCTGGATACAATTTGGAATGTTCCACTTTTTATCAGAGGCCTTTCCCATTTTCTGGATTGCGTATGTCCAGTTCAGGTATCATATGTCTGATATCTGGTAGCAGCTAACGGGTGCCAAGAGGTACCTGCTCCGTTTAGTCTTGTACAAGCTTACAGTGATAATAATGAGTTAAGTAGCTCAGAGTGCAAAAGTTAGCACAGTAAGTAAAATGTTTGGTTGCTCTATGATTTACAGCTGGTTTGTTTCCTTGTTTACAAAACTGGCTGGAGTTATTTTTCCCCTCAAGCTATTTTAAAGCTGTACTTCATCGTCTCTGAAGCATTTTTTAGATATTTCACTTCATCTACAGCATTTTGTTTCTTTATCCAAATTTTTAATGGTCTTTCATTTATGCTTCATATGAAACTACTGACAAAAGCCTTAGCCAGTGTCAGAACCTGTATGCTCAGCCCTTCACAAATGCATCAGGAGGATTTCCTTGTGGGTCAATTAGCTCTTTCTGCTTTACCATGTCCTCATCCTTGGATCTGCCTGGGGGCAGCTGTGGTGATTTCTGGGGGAGCAGGAATAAGGACTCGCTTCTCCTCACCTTGGAGCAAGATCCTTGTTTTACATCTAATGTCATTTTTGTGGCCAACAGTCACTGCAATAATCAGCTTTGCAGATTTAATTCTCTCTTAGGCTTTTGGGGGAGGTGATAAAAATCTGTAAATTGTCATTGTCATCAGTATTTAAAAACAGTCCCTTAAAACGGTGCAGTGATTTTAACTCATATCTTTGGACAAACTCTGGAAAATCTAGCATCATTGCTAGAACCACTGGTAGCCCTTCTCAGTGTGTAAATCCCATGTGGGTTCACAGCCCCATGAAGACTTCACTGACCTCTGTAGAACTGGGGAGCAGAGGTTTTGCCTCATCCCCCCTGATGTGTCCTGTCTCTCTTCATCTTCTGTCTCCTCTGCTGTGCAGATCTCGGAAGATCAGAAGGTCAGAAGAGCCAGGAAAGCTGTTGAGATTACTTCTATGGCAAAGCAGTGCTTCAAGAAACACATGCCAGAGACATAGTTGTCTGCTGCTACTTTGGTCTCAGCTAGTTGCAGAAGACAGGGTTTGGCCTGAACTCCTGGTGGGAGCCTCTTCTTCCACCTTCCTGGGAGACCAGTGCTGTGCCAGGTCAGTTCCCCTGCCAGAAATGAACATGGGGCATCTTGTTTAAACTGGGAAGCTGATAGTGTTGAACTCATCTATTTGTATAAGCTAGCTGGCTATCCTCTTGCCATTTCTAATGTAAATCTACTATGGTATTGTGAAACTTTATTTATTTTAAGCTTGCAATATTTACCAAAGCAAGATGTACAAAAAGGGTCCTTTCTAACTTCCATTTTTCTACTGAGTTATTTGTTGGAAAGATATGTTCATGTATAATTAAATGTGGCTTGCTTAAACCTTTGCAGTTGGTAGCTTAATATATATTTGGTTGTACTTTGAGTACAAAGGCTATATTATGCTTTTGTTGGCATCCTTGCTGGTTAGTATGCCAACTGCATAATTTTGTTCTCTGCTATATGTCAGGATTCGAGTGCCGAGGGCTCAACAGGTGGTGCTGGGATAAAGTTCTGGCAAATCAAATAGGTAATGCGGTTATTTCTTTTGTCAAATTATAATTGAAAACAGAGACAAGTAAAATGAAACTCACATTTTCCTGGTGCAAAACAGGGTTTAGAATTAAATTCAAATCAGTTTCCATGACAAATACACATTACTACGGGAGCTTGGTCTGTAAATAAACATGCAACACCTTAGTTTTGATGTAGAATGATTTGTTCCCTGTAAATTTAAACCTTAAACATCAGTTTTTAAACAATAACAGACGGCTAGAGTCTTCCATGAATCTTCTTTCTTGTACAAATTTTGTAGAAAATGTGCCAAAAACTTCAGGAAAACTTTGAAGAGATTTAAATCTTAAAAAGTCAAAGAATTTGAGACAATCTGTGATACATAACTCAAATGTTTAACATCGGGAGTTTCCTGCCATATTGTTTTCTAATCATTGCTAAACCATGCTCCCAGCAGAAAAAGATAAATACACTGGAAATTCCAATGAATGTGCTGAATGAGGTGCTGCTTATTTTATGTTTGACTTGGATAATGTTTATTAATCCTAAAATCATAAAAATGGGATAAAACCGTCTACAACAAAAATGCCACAAATTATATATGCATAGCTTGGTTTTCCAAAATTGCTTGTAAAAAGACCTATACACTTGCAAGCCTATCTGCTTTGCTATTGTAGCCAATTTTTTTACACCGAGATGTTTTTATTTTCCTCTAAGGACCTATCTAAAACTCATACGTATAATCTTATCTTCTGCTCCTGCAATCATTGTGGTTTTATTTAGTTTTCCATTCCTCCTCATTCAAAGACATTTCTCCTAAACTGTAATTTTCTCGATTCCAAGTTCTGTTTTGTCAGACCTGAGCCCATCATCCACTAAAGCAGCTTCCCACAGTGGCTTCCAGTTCCTTGGGCTGGTCACAAATATCTTTGTCCCTGCCAAGCTCTTATTTACTGAAGGCTTTACGTTTGTATGAGACAGGGTGGTACATTCTCTTCTCTCACTTAATAACTCTTTTCATAAGTGATCAGGAACTAAGCAACATGAGAAAAAGGTATCATGTTTAATCTATAAACCTCATTATTTTTACTTTTTATATGCCATAGTTTCTATTGTTTAGTCCTAGCAGACTGTTTCTCTCCCATAGCAGCAGGCTGAGGTAGTGATGCTGACTACCAAGGCTGCTGCAGGCAGTGGGACCACTGCCTGTGCCCTGGCCTGGGGTGCACAGAGCAAGATGTGAGAAACTACTGGACATGGCACAAGAAACTGCTGGACCTGAAAGATCACAGAGTGAGAAGCTGGCAGCTTTACAGAGAGTACTGTGAGGAATTCACAGGTGGTTAAGGAGGAGTTATGTGAGAAACAACCAAAATTCACAAGAAACGTGAAGGTGAGCCCTGGGGATGTTTTGGGGAGTTGGGATAGTGTGCGGCCAACAGTACCAGGTAACAGTATCAGCTTACCCACGTGAGGCTGAGATCACCCTGAAATGGTATCACAAATACCAAAAATCAGATTCAGCAGCTACACGAGTGGAAAATGGAGCAGAGATTGACTGGATTCATGGAGAGCTGCTAAATCCATGAGCCTTTAAGGTATTAGTATTTGGTTACTAATTTGTTTAATTTCTTCGCACTTTTCAGTATGAAGGTACTTAAGGACAGCAAGACATTGGCCGAGAATAAGGATTCCAGTTCAACGTAACCCTCTTCACAACCCCATGCTTGGACTGACTGCATTCCTGGGAAGCAGGGCACAGCTTTGTTAACCCAGTAGAGTTGCACCCAGTTGCTTCAGGAGTTAATTTGGCAGCTTCACTGCAAGGAACCGATTCAGAAGGTATGAAGCACATTACAGCCAAAGTACTATTAAACTCTTTGCCTCTTTAGAATTCTTTCACTGCACTACTGCATTTCTGGACTGACCTGGGACGTGCCATGAGGACTGATCCCTGCTCTCTATGGTTCTTCGTTAATGCTCAATGCATGAGAGAAAGTGTTCTGTTTTTTTCTTTTTTTTCTTTTAAAAAGCTATGTTGAATATTTATCTTAAACCTCAGGTAGCTGTTTAGAAAAGAAACAGCTGAGAATCAGATAATGTACCCCTTTCATTGACAAAAGATTTATGTCTTGCCTGGCAGGACTTCATACTTGGAGAGCTCACAGCTGACATAGTCAAACACAAGTAGCATGTAGTCCAGTGTTTATCCAGGGGACCCAAGACTGCTGCTCCCACACTTTCTTGTGTGAAATTAAATCAGCCTTTGAAATTGGCAAAGATTTAAAAACATGATAAAAATCCTATTTGAAAGGGGGAAGAGAGGCTCAGAGGCAGTTTGAATCAATGAACACCGTGCAAAAATAAGTAGGGTATGCATGAACATTTCTGCTGACCTTCTACAAGAGCCATCTGTCTAGTTGCAAGGCACCCTCTCCCCCATGGGCACGGGTGAGGAGTTCAGCCACGATGCCTACCACCCTTCCCCCACAGCTGTCAAAACTATTGTTTGGTTCTAGCATATGTACATGCTGTGCCAAAAAGAGAAGGGAAATCGTATGAAATGTGTTCTTTGCCCCGGACCACATGTAACTTCGTGTCACTGACTGTTTAGAGAGAGGGTTTATCTGCATTTTAGCACAACTTTTTAGTCAATGTGTAAAAAACAAGTAGAATAGTAAAGTTAAGTTCTGCATTTCCCAGGAGATCCTTTATTTTCTCCAAGGATAATAGGAGTTTCCACCAGCTTTGCCACAGCTCAAACAAAGAAATGAAGAAGGACTAAACGTCTTTTGCAAATAGTGCTGATACTCAGAAGAGCCCTCATGGGAAGCTGGAAATAGGAGAAAGGGATTTGGTACACCTTCATTTCACCAAGTGAGCAGGTAAACCTGTATTTTTCTCTTTCAATGTCCTTCATCACTCTGCCAGTCCAGACAGCCATACCCAGAGAACGGCTACTGATTGGCAGTTTAAATTGTGCACTGGAAAGCACAGGCAGAATTTACCCCAGAGGAAATAAATTAACCATACACATGTTTAAGGTGAGAAATTCATTTTCTGGTATGCATCCCACAGCTGGAAAGCCTAGATGTTAACGCACCCAACTAAATGGCCACAGACCTGGATCCCATTTCTTCTTCAGACAATATTCTTTTTCATCAGGCAAGTCACAGTGTTTCTTCTTAAATAGTTTCATCCATAAAAACAAAAATGCACCTTCATGACTTTCACTCCAGTGAGGATGGTGGAGCTAATCTAATTTGGTTGTGAAATTAAAATGCTCATATAGAAACAGACTCTTGAAATCCAAAGTTTTATTTTTCCATGCTGTTCCATTGTAAAAATGTGGCAGCTTTGGGGTTTTTTTCCTGAGTTTTTTTACATGGCTAAAAAAATTGAATAAAATCTGTCCTTTGCCTTTCCATGTGCAATATTTGACTAATTGAGAATTAGAAATGCAATATCTACTTTATATTTATCTGTTAGAAACAGCCTATAACTGGTTTGATTGATTTGAAGGGGTGGGGAATATTTTTTTCTGTGTAATTGTCATCATTTCCTGTGAGAATGCATAATGAAGCACATATATTTGGAGGCACAAATATGGGGGCAGGTGACGTAAGTATACATATGCTTGTGTGAAAAGCTGTTCATACATGAATGTACATATATACTTCTCACAGCTGAACCCGGAACCAGATTTCTAATTGTTCTTGAGTTTACACACACACAAAAAATGAATAATTTAAACTGAAAATATCATTTCTGTGTATTATTTAAAAATGGGGGGAAGAAGGGAAATCCTCCGAGATAGCTATAATTTCTCCTCTCTACCGGTCCTGTTACAGCCCAGAAATACATACTTAGAGTTATATTTTTTTCCTCAGTTCAATGTACCAGGTTTTAGCTATTCAAATCCCTTTTCCCATTAGTGTAAGTTAAGCTGCTCATCATTTGCGTGTGGATGTTGCCCTGCTTCTGTGCTCTGCCTCTGTGCACTTTCAATTCAGTTTACCTGCTCTGGTGTACCAGGTAAGTGAACCTGCTCTGGCCTGTGCCACGTGCCTGAACTTCATAACAGTGTAGGAGATGGGGTTGCTACCTTACTGAAATCTATTTCAGCCCTTTTTTTTTTTTTTTTATGATTTTGTTATGATTAGTGAGTGAGACTAAACCATTTGTAGTGCATTTATTAGCAGAAACAATATTGAAAGTAATTTGACCCCTACAGTACTTTCCTTTTTAATAATACTATACAGTGGCAAAAAGGCTATGAAATCATGTGTAGAGATCTTTATCTTAGTTGAACTGGTTGAAATATAGACAATGGAAATTCCCTGGGTTGACATTGGTATAATAGGAAGCAGCATAAGGCCTGCTCCTCTGAGCAATGTGCTGTCACCACAAACTACCTCACTGTACATAGCTAACATAAAAAGTTTGTCAGCCAGCTCCTGTGAGCTCTTTATTTATGGCTACTCTATCATCTAAATAAAGCCATGTTTTTCATGATTAGAAACATAACAGTCTTGCAAAATCTGAAGTTGTATAAGTGAATGTGAATGCTTTTATTATGAAATCATTTTTTCTGTAAGCACTGCAGAAATCAGATAATGCCATACTGTGTTACTCAGCTGGCAGGTCAAGTGTGATATGAAGGCACTCGGCTCAGAAGACCTCTCCTAGCAGGTTGCATCTCACCCAAGGACTATATTAACAGTATTTTCTCTCACAGGACTCGAAAAGTTGGAAACTCAAGCTTATATTTTTGTCATCAGCTTCTTCAGCTGGTAAATGTGCCTCCCCTAGCATATGTGCACAGCACCTCACCTGATGATGGTCTAACCCAAGGGGAGGAGGGTGTTGTGTGCCACAGCTGTGAGCAGCTGTACCATTTATCTCTGGAGTGATGGTCCAACAGCTTACCTGAGGAGTAAGAGCTGAGGTAAGACATAGACTAAGATACCTGGATACCAGTATTGTTTAGTGTTCAAATACATCCAGGAAAGCTAAGCTGCTAACTTTCTAGGTATAGGGAAAGAATTATGTACTAACAAACATCCCCATACTCACATTCAACTCCTCACAGAAAGACAAGTAAAAATTATCAAGCTTTGCAGCAATTTACCTTAAAATGGCAAGGTGAAGTAAACAAAGGAGAAGCTAGGACAGTCCTCAGGGATTCTAGTAAACCTGACTGTTGTATCAAACAAACTGGTAGAAGTTGTAAAAAGAATCACATTAGTTAACATGGGGAAAAATATGGCCGTCAGAGAGGGGTCCTTTTGCAGCACACTGTCATATGCCTCCCAAACCTACTAGAGCTCGGTGGAGGGACCCACGTGTTGTGCCTTATGAGGAAACCCCAACAGCCCAGTAAAATGTGCCCCCCCCCGAGGCACAACTGCATACTGTTGACCTTACTGAGTGAACTAGCTGTGTTAGAGGCATAAAAATCTGTTGCAGTTATAACTAATATTACAGGGCTTTGGTTTTCTTGTTGGATGGAGCAGAACTCTCTGTACTTCTTACTCTTTTTGAAAGCTGCAAGCCAAATGTCTCATGTATCAATTAGACTGAAAATGTGCTGCTGGAGCTGCCTATGGAATATAACTTAATGATGAATTGCATGCGTGCTGTAGAGAGACATAGCAGGATGTTATTGCCATTGTTCATCCTTTGGTATTTGGTTTGCAGCGCCTAAGCCTGTTAATAAGCAGTTTGTCCTGCTTTTACTCTGGTGCATTTGACGCCAAGAGTGAATTTCCTCTATATGCTTTTCCACTGTAAGCTTTGCCAAAGCTCTTTTGTTCGGTATGTCAGTCAGCTCTGATCTTGCTTTAATTGTGCCAATAACTCATGTCTGGAGATTATTCATTCTGATCTGGTGTAACTACCATTGTGTCAGGCTGAAGCTGATGGAGACATTGCTCTTGTGCACACCTAGGACAGGCCTGTGGACAGCAAGTGTGATTCTGAGCCTTTCTTCAGGTGCCCTGGAAGGCACGCTAAGACTGTAAAAATACTGATTTTCTGTATTATGTACAAAGAACAAGGAGTTCAACAGCTCATGCAGTCCGAGTGCTCCTTTTGGAAAAGATTTTACCTCTATGTTTGTCAGATTTGTTCCAGAGATTTTTATTTATTTTTGGATTGTTACCAAGAAAGTATGTAAAATTAATGTCAGGAAAATTACTTGAGTAGTATATATTACACAGCACTAACTACAGCAATACCAATGTTAGTTCTAACACTATTATTCCCTTCTTTGTGGGTGGGTGGGTTAGATTATGGTTGCTCGTAACTTTGCAATAACAGTTGTATATCACAGGCTGATTCTTTTAAAGAAAAATCAGCTGAAAGAGATGAGCCATTTCTGGCCAGGGAGAATATATCACTTACTTGATAAAAGATATAAAAGTGAGTCATACATTGTCCATGTGCATAAACTAAAGTTCCACCTGAACATGAGGAAGATAGATGACTTCATTTTCATTAGCTGTTGAAAGTTTGAACAGAACGTTTCCTTGCAATATATTCTTTTCTTCCAACCCCTTCCCTCCCGCACCTTTTTGCTTCTTTTACAAAGCTACTTTTGAAACAAACTTCTATTGGCATATATGCTGTTCCAGCTTTCATCCTTGATAAAAACTACAATAACTAAGGGGCAAACTTTACATAGTAGTTCATGAGTAAATGGAATTTAATGGGGTCAATTATCCCCACATGCTTATGTGCAGGTTTCATTAATATTAATAGGTTATAGACATGCATATTGAGCTGAAGAATAGGCTCTCACTGGCCTCTACACTATTTTGTGTGTGTGCCGATTTAGAATTATTCAAGAGAACATGTTAATTTTCAAATGTCTAACACGTTAGCTGCAGAGAAAAAAAACAACCAACACATCCATTACACCTGCAAGAAACAGAAAGGTTGAAAAAAAAAATAGATTAAGCATGACTAAAACAGTGCAGATGTTGTTTGTGCTTTTTCCATGATTTAGAATCACATTACATGCCTATGTCTCCATAAATATTTAATGAAATGGAAATGAATATGTAGCAGGCTGGGTTCTTCCCTCTAAGGGTTAAGTTCCATTTCTGCAAATTGGTTTGTGCCCTATTTCTGTTCCTGTGTCTCTGTGCATCCAGACATTTTCTTGGCATCTCTAAATCTTCTGAGGTTTCAGGAGATCTTTGGAGATTTGCTAGTAATTGACCTGCTTGGATTGCACATGACTGGCATTTTCTAAAAGATAATACAGTCTTGCATTTTGTTGTTAAGTGCTGGTTGTGTTATTAACTTGTGGCCAAACCAGAATAAAGGCTCAGGAGACATCATTTTCCCTTAGACAACTTCATTTGTTTCTTACCGTAATCTCCATTATAAATGAAGCACTTTGGTCTCAGCTGAAACCAGTCACATATTCTTTAACTTGTCAGACATGTTTGTCCAGTAATGAATACACCCCACTTTGCTCAAAGTTTCTTTTTAAGATGTTACTGTACACTAAGGGTAAACAGTCAATGTCTCAGCCAAGTCAGATGATTTAACCTTCTGCCACTTCTCTAACCACTAAAGAATTCCTGCCCCTGCTCACTGGGTATTTGAACACGTGTGTTTTCTGAGAAAACAGGGTTATCAAGAGAAGTAAAGCTGATGTTTTCTCCTTAGAAAACAGGAATAATTAATAAGCTTAGGTCCACTCTATCCCAAAGGAGACAAACTGAATGAGCACTGTTTGTTTTAGGTTTATCATGTAACAGAAACAGATATTGCCCCCAGCTACAATAGCATAATTCTGGAGGAGCCTTCAGGTTTAGTTCTGCTGTAATTTAAACAGGTACTATCTCAGTAACACATCTGATTTCAGCAAAGTTCCTAATGTTTAGCACCATCTTTAACAGCTAAGAAAATTATAAATTAAATTAGAACCTAGAAACAATGAATTAACGCTAACCAGATAAACACATGTAATCACTTTCTGCAACACGAGAATTAATACTGCTGATCTTTGCAAGTAGCAGTGACAACTCAAACACAATGCCTTGGGGCCTGCAATAACCTGAAGGCCAATTAACTACAGCGAGGACTTTTTATATTAAGCTTTGTATTAAATAAATTCAACACAAATCTATTGAGGCCAATAAGGATTTTTAGGCAGTCTAGTTAAACTTTACCTCAAAAGTGATCAGGCTACATAGGATTCTGGCTTATGAGATATCTGATTTATATCTTACCTTCCACAGGTGCTTAAGATGAAAATAAGAGCAAATAAGAGATGGAGATAGAAAAATTCTTCTGTCAGTACAATTTTGTATCTTTCATTGGGGATATATATTAAAAAATACAAAATATATATTTATACAAAAATGTATACATATATTAATTATTCTTTACTTATTTATCTTATATACCATTTATCTTATATCTACTATAATATATATTATAAACATATATATTCAATGGTATATTAAAATCTATTCTATATTGTATTGCATTAGATCATATTATATCTTATGTTGTATTATACTATACTATAATATGATACTATGTATGGAATATAATAGAACTCTGATAGATTCCATTATATTCTAGTATATATTAGTAAATTCTATATTATATTTGTATAGAATGTAACAGAATTCTAGTAGATTCTATCAGATGCTAGTATATTCTATCGGATTCTAGTAGATTCTATATTATGTAGTGAATGTAATGGAACTTTATTAGATTCTACGATATTGTTAGATTCTATTATATTCTATACTATTAGATCCTATTAGATTCTATCAGATTCTGGTAAATTCTATCAGAGTATATAAATGTAATATATGTTTATCTAGAATAAACTAGAAGTCTATCCGATTTCATCAGATGTATATTCTAGTATATCCTATAATATATTTAGATAGTAATATAATTCTATTCAATCCTGTTAGATTCTAATAGATGCTATATTATATTTATATATGATATAACAGAATTCTATTGGATTCTAGTATATCCTATTAGACTCTATCAGATTCTAGTAGATTCTATAGTATATAGCAAATGTAATTGAATTTTATTAGATTCTACTATATTATTAGATTCTATTAGGTTGTAGTATATTACATTATATTCTGTATTATGCTTATATAGAAAGTAATAGAATTCTAGTATATTCTACTAGAGTCTACTGGATTCTATACCTATATATAATAGATGTCTATTAGATTACATTAGAATTTAGTGTATTCAAGTGTATTCTATTAGATTATTATACTTATACAGACTATAATAGAAGTCTATTAGATTCTGTTAGATTCTAGTCTATTCTATTATATTCTGATATATTCTAGAATATACTATATTCCTGTAGTAGATTGTAATAAAATTCTATTAGATTTTAGTAAATTCAATTATATATAATACATAAAATATGATAGATTTCTATTGAATTCTAATATATTTCCTTAGATTCTAGTATATTCGGTTAGCATATACGATATAGTATATTTATATAATATATAATAGGTTTCTGTTGGATTCTATTAGATTCTAGTATATTCTAGTTTGTTCTATCAGATTCTAATATATTTCCCTAGATTCTATTGGATTCTAAAATATTCTAGTGTATTTTCTTAAGTTCTAGTATATTCAATTAGATTATATTACACATTGTATTTGTATAACATATTATAGATTTCTATTGGATTCTAGTATATTTCCTTACATTCTATTGGATCCTATTGGATTCTAGTAGATTCTAGTATATTTCCTTAGATTCTAGTATATTCAATTAGATTATAGTACATATTGTATAAAATATCATAGATTTCTATTGGATTCTAGTATATTTCCTTAGATTCTATTGGTTTCTAGTATATTGTATCACATTCTAGTATAAAATAGATGTCTATTGGATTTTATTGGATTTTATTCTAGTACATTCTATCA